CCCGCTCCAGGATCCTCAGGTCATAGTTCTTTTTGGCCACTCGAAGTTTGAAGCGACTCACGGAGTTGTTGAGGCGAAGGGAGGCGTTCTGGGCGGCCAAGGGGCTGGGGAACACGGCCACCACGGTGTACAAGGCGGCGAGGTCGGCGTGGCGGCCGTTCTCGGCAGTCCCCCCGCCGTCCCCCCCGCCCCCTCCGGGCAGCCCCTGAGCGTCCTTGAGCCACTGGATCTTGGCACCAGACATGGCGAGCTGGGTGAAGAGCTTGTCCGCCTCTGTGCGGGTGATGCCCTCGGGGAGATCTGTCACCTCCAGCACCCGCCCCAGGACTGGAGGGAGAGAGACAGCTGGTGAGGGGCGCAGGGCAGGGAGGCCGGGCGAGACTGTGCGGGGACCTCTGCTCGCCCCAGGGCCCAACTGCCCACCCTCCGGGGGATGCTCAGGGGGCAAGAGATACAGGCGAGCGGAGTCCGCGAGTCAGAGCCCAGTCAGACTGGGCTTGCCTTGGGTGCCGCCGGCAGGGAGCACTCCGACTGCCCCTCACAAAGCCAGCCGCCCACGCCGGTCCCCCCCCCCGAGCTCCCTCCCTGAAGCTGGCCCAGACAGGCGCTCCTCAGCTAGCAAGGGCGGTTTTTTTAACAAACAGCTCCACTGAGGGGCAACCGAGGCCCGACGCCTTGTGGAAGCCCGGCCCAGGGCCCACAGTCAGGCGAGGCCTGCCGGAGGGAGATCCGGTCTACGCCACAACTCTGCGGCCCACAGGCTCGGAGACCCCTCCCTCCCTGTGCCGCGCCCCAACTGCCATGACCCTGCCCAGCCTGGGCTGACCTGGGGGCAGGGCTGAGAGAGCTCACTTCTCCCCTGCTCCTGGCTTTGAGCCCGGTGCTGGTGATGCAGGGCTGGGGGCAAGACCTTGCCGCGGGGCGGGCACCGCCACTCACCAATGTCCGCCGTCCCGAGGTCAGTGGACGCGGACTTGAGCGCTTGCCTCCTGCTCCGGTGTCCATGCTTCAGCCCGCTCTGTCCCTTCGGCAGTGGAAACCACGGTCAGCGGCCAACTCCTCGGGCTGCCAGGCCTCCCCCTCTGTCTGAGAGGCCTGAGGAGCGGGACCCAGCCCCGGGGACACCCCAGCAGGTCTGCTGTCTCCCTAGACAGGTGCGGACGAGGCGGGAGGGCCTGGTGCCGGGGCTGTGGAGACCCTTACCTGGTGCGGCGAGAAGGCTGCCTGGCCGTGGAGCAGGGGCGGGCAGATGGAGAGGCTGTACTGCAGGGGCTGGCCCAGAAGGGGGCAGCGCCCATCACCTGGGGAGGAAGCGCAGACAGCTTTCCCAGAGCCTGAGCTTCATGGTAGGATGAGAGGGGCCGCAGGCCTGGAGGCTGCGACCAGCGCACGACCTGTCCTGCGGCTGTGACCCAACAGCCGTCTCCTCCCTGAGCGCACCGGCTCGCAGCCCCACTCACCGACAAACAGGCTAGCGGGCTCGTCTGCCCCCAAGGTCTCCCTGCGGGAAGCCTGGCATGCCTACGGGGACTGTGCCCACTCCGAGCCCAAGGTCTGTTTCCGACTTGGGGGTGGCACTGCAGTGCAGGGACAAGGCACAGGCCCGGGGCCAGACCGCGGGAAGACCCCGCTCTGTGGCTCGCGTGGGTGTCGGGTGTGTTCCCTTCCCTGACGCCGCCGGGGAAGCTAAGCGGGCTTAAGGCACATACAGCAGTGACAGCTTTATGTGCGATGTTGCGGTAATAAGGTAATGTACATATTATTACTTCATGGCATATATCAAACACTGCGTTACCTACTAGTGTTATATTTCAAAGTTTTATTTGCTTATTTTAAAAAAGATGTATTTACTTATGCACACAGAGCTGGGCACAGGCCAGAGGTGCAGGGGATGAGAGGCCTCCCCAGAGACAGAGCGGGGAGCAGAACAGGCCGCCTGACTGAAACCCACTGCTGAGGGGTAGCAGGGAGACAGGAGGGGCCTGTTGCGCCCTGGGGTCACTCCCGGGGGGAATGAACTCAGGCTGCAGCGGCTGTGACAGCTCCATACTGCTGAGCTTCACCCCTGCACCCCAGGAAGGCCCTGTCACCTGAGGCTGCAAGTGGGGAAGACTGACTACCCCAGGTGTGATAAACTCCACTTCCTGGGTTAAAACTGAGGTCTGGCTCCAGGTGTAAGTGGTGTGCGCCACGTCACACGGCCAGTGCTGCGACCAGAGCACAAAGGTCTCATGCTCCATCCAGGGTTCTAGAGCAGCCGCATTTCCACATTTCTCGTCCTCAGACTCAGCACTGATGGGCTAACACCGTTGGTTCATGAGAAAGTTCAGTGAACCCCCCACGGTGTAGCGGCGCACAGGTCCCGTCCTAAGCCGCCTGGGCCGGCCCTTACCCTGTGCTGGGCCCCCGGGCCGGGGGAATGGAGCGAGGACGGGCAGGGGGCTGAGTCCTGTGCAGACGCTGCTGAGGCTGGTGGCCGGCGAGGGCGCTGGAGACTGTGTGGGGGATGTGCCAGGGCTGCTGCCCAGCTGCGCGCCGGCCTGCAGGGGCAGCAGGAGCAGCATTAGCAGGCTGGCGGCGCCCAGCCCCACCCGCCTGCAAGTCAAGCTCCCCTTGAACCTCCTCGGGCGAACCTGCGAAGTCGGCTTTTCTTCAAGCCACCCCCTCAGTCCCCAGTTACTCTGCAACCGTTTAAGGGCGTTTTAAACGCCCTCTAGGATGTGTCCCATTGGCCACCGCAGACCTCAGGTCTCTTGCCTGCTTCTCAGTTCTGTTACTTTTCTACCACCGCAGTACCAGTTACGATGCCGTATGTGACCGCAAGTCCACACGCCTTCAGCTCTGCATCCCACGTCACGCCCTCCAAAACTTCGCTGCCCCACCCTAACGCCCCAGCTCGGGGCTCCTGACCCCTACCGCCCCCCGGCGGCCGCCCCCTGTAGTCAGGGCTCCAGTCACTCGGTCGCCCTGTCTACCCCCTTCTCACGCTCCAAACTCACTAGAGTGACATCACTCCATATTTGCCTTTCTCCTCCTGACCTTAAGTTTCTTTCTTTTTTAAAGATGTATTTAACTTGTTTATGCACACAAGAACTGGAGTACAGGCCCGGGGTGTGGGGAGGTGATTCACCAGACAGAGTGGGGAGCAGAACAGGCGGATCCACTGAAATACACTGTGAGGGAGGCAGGGGGAGACGGGACCTGCAGCTGCGCCCTGGGGTCATGCCCTGGCAGGGTGATTCAGGTTGCAGCAGCGACAGTGTGATGGCTGAGGCTTGACCCCTACACCCCCGGGAGTGTTTCTCTCCAAAAAGCGCTGAGGGAAAGCATGTGAAAGAGGTTGCTCAGTCAACGGTCGAGATGACAGGGAGTAGAGTTGACTCCCTGAGAAGAACCTGATCACCTCCTGGCCAGGATCAAGCTGGGCTGCGAGGACTTACCTGGGCGGCACTGTCAGGGTTGTACAGGTCTCCAGCCTTCTGCCCCCGTTGATCCATGCTGTAATATTTACAGTGACTCCACTGGACCATGGGTGGGTTCTGGGGGGCCTGGGGTCCATTAGGAACATTCAGCTGCATGACCACCACACCTGGTCCAGAAGGTGACACTCCTGAGTGGACAGGAGAAAGCAGCTGGCAGTTAACTCAACCTAAAGTAAGTCTGACCTTCCAGCTGGCCCTGAGCAGGAAAGTCGGGGGGCAGAGCTGCCCACGGGCCTTGGGGCCACTCGGCTGCGTCCTGCGGGAATCTGAGTGCTGCCGAGCAGTTTCTGACCCCTCAGACCAGGGGAAGCCTGAGGGCGTAGCCAAGTGCCAAGGCTTTCCCAGCCCCGGTGTATCTGGCAGAAAGCCACCCCGTGGAAGCTGGTACTGCCAAATACCCACGGCGGGCCACGCCAATGTCTGGGCACAGCAAGGCTGCCGGGACGTGCAGGCTTTCTGATAACGGCTGCGTGAGGCAGGAAGCGGCAGGAACTTCAGTTCCCGCAGGTCCCCATCCGAGGGCGGGCAGGCTTCTGACCACCCAGGCTCTGTGAGGGCGAGCCTGCGTCCGTGTGTGGGAGGCTGGAGCCGGGGCCTGAACACCCGCGCAGCGCTCTGTTCCCGTGGCCGGCTCTGGGCTGCGCTGCTGCGGCCACTGCATTGCTTCCTGGGACCGGACATGCTGCCGCCTCCGCCCTGGGCACCGTCATGCTGGGAGGTGAGGGTGGCTGCGCTTCTCGGGGGCTCCGGCCCAAAGGCAAGGAAGGCAGCAGCGGAGAGCCAGAGAGCAGCGCGAGAGGGAGCGGCCGTCGCACCCCCACCGCTAGGGCCGGTCTAACCAGAGAGCACAGGTACCAGAGGTCAGGCCCCCCAAAGGGGATAGGGTGTTTGCAGGCCCACCGACGACAGCTGCTCTGGGCATTTCATTTCCCGTTCTCAAGTCCCAGCCGCTCCAACAGTCTCTACCAACAAAATTGCAACTGACCTACTCAAACACCTCACTGCTACCTGAGGGAGCAATGCAAAAATAATCAAATCCATACCTTTCTGGAAGGAAGGAAGCTCATCATCTGAGCTCAGCGCCCCGAGCGAGTCGAGTGAGTGAGGGAAGTGTGGGGGATGTGGGCGTGCGGGGAGGGGGTGGGTATAAGCGAGGCTGTGGGAGACAACCCAAGGGGCTGTGAGGTGCTGGAGGGGGAGGACGGACATAGTCCTCCCGTTTTCTCCAATCCCAATGATGACAACAGTGATAATGGTAAGGACAGGAAGGCCGGGCCTCAGCTGCAGCCTGCCCGCCCGCCCTCCCGCCGAGCAGTGTTCCTGCACCAGCGAGGACAGAGCGCTACGCCACTGAGGAGCTGGTTTTATGCTTCTCTTCCTCGAGCCACAAGCAGGTGGCATCCGTCAGAGTGCCGCTGTCACTGCTGCTTAATGGACGTGGCAATAAAAAAATAAGCAAACACACACCTCCCCATTGTCAGCACCTCCATGTAATCAGGGCGGGGGAGGGCTGGCTGAGGAATCAATTTGAGCTCGAGGCTCTGAAAGGAGAAGGACGTGAGAATGGCTTTTTAAGTGGCATCATTAAACCTGGGCAGAGAGGTCGATGGGCAGCGCAGAAGTATGAAAACAAACAGATGACGTCTGTGCTGCAGGACTGGATTTGTGTGGTTGCTTTTGTTCTTTAAGTCACTGGGGTAGAAGAGTGATAAGGCTCCCCCCTCCCCCCCACTGGGAATCGAGTCTGAGAAAAGGAATGTCCAGAGAAATCAAGTCCACAGGCATCTTCCTTAAATCACAGCCGAGAATCAATGGGAGCCTGATCTTCCCCTCTGGTGCGGGAGAGGGATTTCCAGGGAGCGGGGAGGAAGGAGACGAGCTTTGGAACTCCTCCATCACGAAGCGCAGCGAGTCTGTGAGAGGCTAGTTTGCACGCCGCTGACCGCGCTGACCGTGGAGCGGCCCCGCGCTGTCTGGGTGCACCTGCCCCCAGAAGCATCCCGAAACTCCTCAGAGGGCAGTGGCAACCCACCATCTTGGCAGGATGCAAAGTGTTTCCTGGGGAGCTCTGACGTTTGACAGAACAGCGGGAGAATTAAGTCTGGCCCGGAGGTAAAGCGGCCACAGAGATGCACCCTCAGCCAGAACCGCTGCTCCGGGAACAGCGGCCCGCACCCCGCCTTATCTTCGAGGCGCGACCGTGTTGCTCAGGGAAGCGGGCGTGACTCCTCAGAGTCCCGCGGAGGGTGAGTGGGAGGCGGCAGAGACAGCACCGCTGCTCCCCGTCCACTCCCTGGATCTCCGCCGGGGCCTGAGGCGCAAGGCCGACGGGCTGGTGCGCACTGCTCCTAAGCCGTGGGCAGGGCAGGAGTGGTTAGCGCGAGGGACAAGGGGCCTCAGAGCGGGGGTCAGCCAGGTAGCGAGGAAGAAAGGCCCTATGACAGAAACTCCCAGAGCAGCGAGGGAACTGGGCGATGAAGAGGGCTTCCTTACCCGCCAGCCCGGAAAACCTGGGCTGCCGCCCAGCCCAGCCCAGCACGCTAGGTCCAGAGTAGATAATGAGAAAATCTCTTTACTTTTTCTTCTTCTTCTTTTTTTTTTTTTTGCTGATTCAAAGACACTGAATTTGAAGATGTAACCACAGAAACCTGTCAGGTACACCGACATACCCGAGGATACACCTGTGCGGGCGCCCAAGCGCACACACTGATTTAACAAGCAGGAGAGAAAATGCCCTGAGGGGCCAACCCCCTCCACAAGCTGCAGTGGGGTTCCTGGAGCTGGTTTCTAGAATTTCCAGACCCCAGTGGGAATTTCCAAGGTCAAGTGTCCCTGGTGGACACTAGGAGAAACAGCCACACGGACCAACAACAGAGTAAAGGGCGAGGCTGTGCAGGTTAAAATCTTTCAGCGAGGGGGCGGCCATGGTCTGGGTGAAGGGAGAAGGCATTGCTCCTTGGAGGTCAGAACTGGTAAGACCGTATCTTACAAGAAGCATTAACTCCGGAATCCACTCCACAGCATTCACGAGAGTTTAAAAACTTCTGTGAAACGACTCCTTTCCCTCCATTTCTCCGCTGAGAAAACTGGCACGATCCCCTCCCACCAGCAGAGGGCAGGCGGCCGCGCGCCAGGGAGCGCCCCAGCACCCCCCAGACCCTTCCCTCCAGAAGGCCTGGGTTTTCTCCAGCTGCTGCGTCATGGCGCCCAGCAGGTGGGCGGTGGGTGGGCGCAGGGGAGCAAACAAGGGCAGCTGTGCCTGGCGTGTGCGGGGCGGTCTGGGCAAGCAGGCAGTGAGAGGCGGCGAGGAGAGCCCTGTCCACCTGGGGGAGTGACACCTTCAAAGAGGGCCTTGGCCTGCTTAACCTGGCATCCAGGTCTCTCCCACGGGAAGGAAAGGGACAGAGTGCAGACATCTGTGGAGACGTCTTTACTGAAGATGGCGCATGGGACCCGGGAAGTCAACCCCGGTGCGCGTTCGAGGACTGTGGCCCTGGGCGAACACTGGAGTCTCTGGGTCTCAATTTCCTCTTTACAAAGTTGTGAGAATTAAAATGTATCTGAGCACACAGGAAAAGCTGCCTAACAGATCTCAGCTGACCTGAAAGGCAGCGGCCTCACACCCCAGGGGACGGAAGCAAGAGCAGCCCACAGGGAGCTCGCCAGGCGCCGCTCGTCCCCACGCACCCGAGCGGCTGTGCGGCCCGGGCTTTGGGGTAAGCCAAACCCCAAACACCACGCCTGGCTCTGTCCGCAGGAGCCGAGCAGAGCTGTGGGCTCCTGTCTTTGCTGGGGGGACAGGGAAACAACCCGCCTTTCTTGAGAGCTCAACTACAGCACCCCTGGAGAACATAACCCCCCTGTGGGGCCACAGTGGGAGTGGGGTGAGCCGCTGAAGTCTGTCTCCCCCTAGCACCTGCGCTGTACTCCTCTTACCTGAGAACTGCTGTGGCATCTGTGGTGGGCTGCAGGGAGAGGGAGACGGAGGCATCTGGTACTGTTCAGAGCCAGGCGGCTGCAGAAATCCCACGGAAGGGCTGAGGAGGTGGGGCGAGAGGGTAAGGTGCGGGCGGGAGGAACGCAGCTGCTCTTCCTGGGCCTCCCCGTGCGGAGCTGAGGCAGCTCCAAGCTCTTCTTTCCCAGGCCAATTTGCCATGCGATTTCTAAAATCACTCATCAGTTCAAAGTTAATTATATGTATTTGTGCTTGATCATCTTTCAATTAGGAAGCCGCTCATCAGTGCTGCAGACGGAACGTTAGCGACTCACGCGCTTCCCACAGTGTGGGCACAGGAGGCGCGAACCGCCACGTGCGCTCGCGCTCCAGAAACAGAGCTGCAGCGCAGCCGTGTGCGGGCTAGGGGCTGCGGGAGGACACGGGGCCCCCACGCGGCTGCTTACAGTGGCGGGCAGCAGTGGCCCCCCCACGGTGGGGGCACCCCGCACCCACCTCAGGGCAGCACAAAGAAATAAACACGCAGTGAGATGGAAACACACACCGGCCGGCCAGGCGAGGGCGCTCTAGCCCCGTCCCACCAGCCGCGACTCTGGGTGACTTTCTCACCTGCCTTCACCTGCCTGCAGGGACTTCCTCATGGGTAGAAGAACGGAGGAAAATACGACGGGGTCGGGGGTGGGGCGGAGGGATAAGGCTGGAGAACTATAATTCTACTAGCTATGAGCTTTCCAAAGACATATAAACAGACACGGGCAGACCAGCATGGTCACGGGCACAGAGGTCACGGGCACAGAGGTCACGGGCACAGAGGTCACGCGCACAGAGGTCACGGGCACAGAGGTCACGTGCACAGAGGTCACGTGCACAGAGGTCACGGGCACAGAGGTCACGTGCAAGTCGGCAGGGCGCGCATGTATATACTCTAAACTGCTCCTAACAGTTTCTATGCCACACTTCTGAGTCCAGGTGATAGAAACTATAAACTGGGTAAGTCACAGCCTCTGTCCCTGAAGCGGGAGTCGCTTCCTCTGGTCAGCTCTGCTGCAAATGTCAGCAAGCACCAAGGAACACGGACTCCGCTCTGACTCCACCGGCCCTGAGGTCCCACTATCTCTCGACCCGGGTCTGTTTTCTTCAGCCAGTGCAAGCAAGCCCACTGTGCAAGTCTGCTGAGGGTCCGCGGGCTCCCAACCCTCGGGGGTCCTCACCTCGTACCGTTCTGCTGAGCTGGAGGGATCACGCTGTAGTACACGGGGACGCCCCCCGCCGGGAGCGCCCCTTGTACGGACTGGCTCGCAGGGACCAGCAGGGGCTGCTGGAAAGGCGGTTGCACCACGTTTTGCGAGTCGTTGCCCACCGGGACCTGGGTGGAGACAGAAGAGAGTGACCGCTGTGCTACCGAAGGGCCCCCTGGGAGAAGAGCCCCCGGCACACGCTGACCTCCCGCCCCCCGGCATCTTCGAGCTCCAGCCAGTGCAAGTCTCCTACGGAGCTAGCTAGTGTCACCCCCAGACCTCCTCCCTGGGTGTGTGGCATGGGGAAGGGGCCTGGATACATGCTCGTGTGCACTGCTATATAAACCCCAGCAGTTTACACAGGGACGCGCCTCGGATTCTTTGGACTTTTGGAAGAAAAAAAAACAAACTGATAATTTTCAGGGGGACGTGAGCAATGTTTAGTGTTGGAGTGGTCAGACTGGTGGGCTGGGCTCCTTCCCTTATCCCGAGGACGGCTGACCCGCCCCCACACAGAAGCACCCACTTGGTAGGAAGGCAGTGGGGTGTACTGGACCAGCAGGCCTTGCATCTGCCCCCCCAGGCTGCTCCTCTGGCTGCTGAGCAGGCCCTGGCTCTGCGGCTGCTGGACCCCGATCACGCCTGGGTAGGCCGCCTGCTGCCGGCTCGGCATCACGGGCTGTAGACCTGGGCGGACAGACACGAGCGAGGTCTCGGTGATGCTGCGGAGACCGCGCTTGAGCAGCAGCTTCTCCTCTCCTGACTACTGCACCTTTCCTTTCTTCCTGGAGATTCTGGACCCCCCCCTTTTAATTGTAGTTTATTTTTACATCATCTTGTGCCTTTTCCATCTTGGTTGTCATCCTCGTGGGCTTCCCAGCACCAGGTCACCCGTGTGCCCTCCCCACAGTCCAGTGCACTCTCCCCCCCAACCCCGTTTTTTATCCCACTCCCCACTCCACCCTGTAAAATGTCTCTGGCCTATAGCTGCTCATTATTATTTTTTTTCTCCCTTGGTCTGCCCTTTTTTAAGGTCGTGATCTATATGGGGAGCAGTCCTCACCCCCGCGCCCCCCACCCCGTCGCCTTCCATGGCAGCAGCTTACCAGGCTGCTGCGAGGGCTGAGGCAGCTGCTGGCCACGCTGGGGGCTGTAGGCCACCGGGTGAGAGAGGGGGCGGTACTGCTGGCCGGAGTCAGGGTACTGTCCAGGGGGGTAGTAAGAAACCTGGATCTAGGGTGAGAGGGAGCAGATACAGCAGAGGGCGCCTCAAATTCAGTCCCGACACCCCCGAGCTATTAAGTGAGTCACAACAACTCTGCAAATGGGAACCGTGGGGCGGCCATGCTGCCTCCAGCCGCCTGAGGCAGGGCGGGAGCGGCTGTTACACAGTGAGCGGCCTCCTGCCCTCCTGCCAAGAAAGACGCCTGCCAGTGAGAGGGGGAGAAGTGGGGGCACATGAGGGCTGGTCATAGTCTGCCCACATAGGGGGGTGGGGCGAGGGGGGGAGAGGACTGTCTGCTGGGAAATGCTCACCTGCTGAGGGGACTGGAGATAGCCCTGGGGCGGCAGGACCTGCTGGGCAGGCGGGTGGCCAGAGGCCGAGTAGCTGGGAGTGGGGAGGGGCTGTCCCGCAGGGGTCACGAGGAAGCCGGCCTGCTGGGGGTGCTGCGCGAGGAGCGGGGCCTGCAGCAGAGCGGAGGGCTGGTCTGCTGCTTCTGCGGAGCCCTGGCGGCCCAGGCTCACTTGTCCAAAGGGGCTGCTGAGGTCATCCGCCTGCTGAGAGTGGGGACACTCAAGCACTGGGGCCGCACTGCGCCCCAAGTCTGGCCTCCGCACAGACAGACAGACAGGCAGGCAGGCAGGCAGCCAGCAGAATAGGGAGCCTCTCTGCAGCTCTCCCCTTCACCCCACGCGGGCGCTCTGGGAGGTGCTTTCTCAGCCCCAAGTGTCTGTCTACGAACTGAGCAGCTGAGCAGCGGTTTGAAACCAAACTCCAGCCAGGCTCCGGACCACCGGGGAGGTCACCACGGCCACTCTGGCTTCGATCTTTATTAGAATCAGCCCTGGACAGACGGAGCAGTGACGCAGCTCCTCCAGCCAGGGAAAACCGGCGCACTAGTGGGCCACGTGACCCGTCACACCGCCTCCCACGTCACCGCACTCCCAGCACACTCCCGCGGAGCTGCCATTTCACAAGGATCAGGCACACTGGCCAGGCGGGTGGCAGGTTGTAAGGCTTCCAGTTCTGCCCTGAGGAGCAGTGTGCTCCACTCCTGCTGCGTATCCCCTCCTCTCTCTCTCTCTCTCTCTCTCTCTCTCGAGGTCGTTGCCACCTCTGTTCTCTGACACTTGCCTAGGGTTTTCCTGCCCTTCAGAAACTGCTTCCAATTTGCACCTCTGACAGGCGGCCAGGTGATAGCCAGGGTGGAAGCGGGGACAGCTGGTCTGTAATCGGCTCCCTCCCGGCCTCCTCCCTCAGCAGCAAGGCGGTGTTGTTCCATCTCTTCCTGGGACATAATTTCTCTCTCTCTCTCTCACACACAACTTTGCATAAGAAACTAGTAGAAGCAAGAGATAAAGCTTTCTCATGGTTTCAATTTTTAGGGATGGATCTGATCTTCTAATGAGCTATTTTGCTCCAAGTAGGCAGAAATAGGTGACAAGAGGGCTGTTGCAGATTATTCTGAAATCCATATTCAAAGATATTTCAGAATGCAGATATGCAGGGAGAGGGAATCATTCCAAGTGAGAAAGCGGGCAGTTTGGGTAACACACTGGAGAAAAACCCAAACCCAGGAACTCCGAAAACATGACCGACGTTATCAAAACAACATGGCGAGTCCCAGATTCAAAGGACTGGTGTCCAGGCTTCCACAATGTCAGCAGCGTGTGCTATGCAGAAGCAGAGAATGCTTTTCATGGGGAACAACACGGGGAAGTTGGGGAACCTCTCAGGTCTTCCCCGGGTGTGCCTGGGGAACTTGCTGCTGGGTTTTTCTTTTTAAAGAGCACCACGCTGTCCAGAACAGACAGAGGCTCTCGGCACACCCAGGGCGCCGGCGTGCCCGCCTGCTTCAGGCACCCAGGAGCTCACCGGCCCGTGTTGTCTCGCTGCAGAATGGAGTCTAGTGCCGCTGGGGGTTCCTCAGGGGACACCTGCGGGCGCGTCCCCCCCCCCCCCAAAGCACAGCTGCTCCGCACGCCATGGACGGCCCCAGACACACCCACAGCAACAGCCACGCAGGGACACGACAGAAAGGGGTGACGGGTTATACCATGTTGTACTGCTGGGGTGGAGAGACCGGCAGGAGGACCTGGGCACAGGAACTTGGCGAGAACTGGACCGGCTGCGGAGAGGGCTGCAGAGCCGGGGCTGGCTGCGGTCGCAGACACATGTGGGAGAGAACGGGAGGCACAGGGAGGGGCGGGGCGGGAGGGGCAGGGGAAGAGACAAGGTTAACCATGGAGGACACTTCCCACGGTGTCCAGGCTGCTGGCAGACTGGAGACCACGCTGACTGACTGCAGCCCCGCCCAGAGCCCACTGCGTGGCCTCGCCCATCAGCCCGGTGGGCGTGTGAGCAAGCGAGGGCCTGGGCCTGGCGGAGCCCGGGCCTGCCGCTCACTTCCAAACACAGCTCCCCCGAAGCTGCTGGCTGAGCAGGCAGGCGGCTGCGGGAGCGCGAGCACAACTCTCTCTCTTGGACGTCTGAGGCGTTACTGCCGCGCTGCTCTGCTCGACTGCGGCTGCAATGAGGGTCATCCCAGGTCTGGTTCGGCTACGCTCCCAGAACAAGCTCCTGACTTCACACCCAGCCCTGGGGAGGGAGGAAGCCTCATTCACAGGTTGCTTTTCCACACAGAAGCTGGCTCTGGCTACTTCGCAAGTTCCCCCAGGCTCTGAGGGCAATAGAACCCCCTCTCAGACAAACAGGGGATTGAGGGGTCAAATCTAAATGGCGCTTTCAGCTATTGTTCTCTATCAGCCCCTTCCCTAGCCTCAAGCCAGAGGATTTGTTTATTAGGAACCCGGTGTTTTCTAACCAGGCCCCCTCTTCCCCTCCGGGGGCAATCACCTAATCGTCTAAGCCTATTGGGTTCTCCAGTCATAGCTCCGGGTGGGTGGGGAGGGGTGGGAGGAGAGAGGCAGGGAGAGGGGGATAAGGTAGAAGCACGTCTCATTTACATACGTCTGTGGTCTTCCTGGCCTCACCCTAATCTATAGGAAGAGGTAACTTTGCCGTTAAGACAGTGAGGCTCAGAGAAGTTAAAGCAAGCCTAGGGGAGCAGAGGCAGGGCTGAGAAGCGCACCTCCACTGACCTGGCAGTGTTCTTGCCACTGCTCTAAGCAGCAGGGGGTGAAAGGAAAAGGCAGACAGAACCTACAACTTCTCTCTGTGATTCTCCTCTGCGAATCCAAAGTATGAAGGGTGCTGGGGCCAAGGTACCCACGATCTCTGCTCTGTGTCTCTGGAGCCCAGGAAACAGAAGGCCCCTGCACCCCCTGCCTCCCCAGAAGTGGACACTGTGCAGACAGTGCCAGAGCGGATTAAAATGCAAGTCATCTTGGTTAGACAGTTGCTGTGAATCCGCTGCGCAACCTGGAAGAGATGTTGCCCTGAAACAAGCTCTCCGCCGCCAGCACACCTGTTTTCTGTAAACCAGCGAGTGGCACCCCAAATGCATATTCCAAGCAGAAGGGTTGGCCTAGGGCTGGCGTGAGGCGCCCACGCCCTGCCCCCTGCCCTTTCTCTCCAGGGAGGGCCTGCTGGCTTCAGCTCCTGCACATCGGGGAGGGGTGGCCACAGGACCGTGAAGCGAGCGGCAAAAGAGCCGCCTGTTTTCCTGGAGTTTGTGAGGTCTGAGTGAGAAGTGAAGGGGGAGAGGAAACGCCCTGACTGAGGGAGGGCAGTGATAGAGGGGCTCGGTGACTTCACCAAGGCCTCAGTTAGGTTTTTCTCCTGGAGTGTCGCCAATTCCTGGGCTGGGGAACTTTTGGAAACCCCAGAGGCAGCCAGAGCTCGCCCGGAGGTAGCGAGCGCCACCTGCTGGTGAAGCCTGGGCTTTGCGGCTCTCGCCTCTGCCTAAGCCCGAGGCCGCCGGTGGCTCCTTCCAAGAGGCGCCCCGCCCCCTTTCAGTAACCTGCATCAGCTGCAACACGCAGTCTCATCCCTTGGTCTCACACGTCCTGCTGACACACGGTGGAGGCCTGCTCTGGAGCCTGCCGTGAAGGGAAAGTGCCCAACTTAGCCAGCGCTGTCCCTCTGCCTAGAGCAAATGTCTCATTTTCTGTTTTTCTTCTAACGGAAAACTGAGAGGAGGGAGAGAAACAGAGTGTGTGTGTAGGGGCTGGGTGTCATTTCCTTCATCTCTGCATTGTTATATGCCATTTGAGAAACTGACCAATAAGTATACTGGGGTTCTCCTTAGTGGCACAGGGGGTAAAGCGCAGCACCAAGAAGCTGTCCACAGCCACTGCAGCACGAGTTCGATCTCCGGCCAGGGAGGGACCCCAGGGCGCAGCAGGCTCTTCCTGTCCCCTGCTGCTCTCTCAGCAGTGGATCTCAGTGGATCCACCTGTTCTGCTCCCCACTCTGTCTCTGGAGGGTCCCCTCACCCACTGCACCTCTGGCCTGTGTCCCAGTTCTTGTATGCACAAATATAGACAAATAAAACTTTAAAAACAATTTGAGAGCGAGATGGCAAGGGTGGCACATGCAAAAAAACCCTCAGGCAAAAAACCAGAGCACGTGTTTGAGGGAGTCTGTGCAGAGCCACGGCTCTGGCCCAGCGCCTCACCTCCAGGAGACCAGTCAATACCACCGGCTAGCCCGTTGGGCGTAGGACCCAGATGCAGGGCGGGCACAGTGCTCCCCCCTCTGCTTACCCCCTCGACCGTGCTCCTGCAGTTGCTCTGTTTCTGCTTATGGACAGAAGGAGCAGGCAGGTAGTGGCTGAGAAAAGGGAGCAAGACTATATTAAAATACATGCAGTTCAGAAAACTCAAATACTGGGGCCTCAGAAAAGTGAGACAGAAACACAGCAGAGACTAAAAGGTGGGAGTGAGGGCACAGGCGGGGTAACCCACAAACATGCCCTGCTTCCGTCAGGCAAGGAACGCTGTTGTGAATGATATTAATGAAGCAGATGGCTGGAGAAGGTCAGGACCACAGAGAAACTGACTTGGGGACTGAGACTCAAGACTGCACGGTCCGCATGTGAGTTATATCCAAAGACACAACAGGCCTCGCTGTTCTCCAGCTTCGGAGCCTGTCTCAATACTTGGGGGTACTACGGAGCCACACCTGGGTCTTTTCATGCCAGTTTCGGGTTCCTGGAGTGTCAGTACTTGGGACTTGTTTCTGGCGCCTTGGCAAGAGATATATTTAAGGCCAGGTCGGACTAACTGAGCAGGGAGATGAGCAAGCCTACAGGTGAAGCAAAACTTGAATACGGGCAGAAAGGGGTGAGGTTTGCGGGCTTCCCGGTTCCTGGAGAAACTGCAGGACAGAGTGTGGGTGCTGTCCATGCAGTGTTCTTTCCACAGAAGCAAGACGGCAAACTCTAGCCCAGCACACTGCCAGCCCAGCAACAGCAGGAAGCGGCTCCCTGTGGCAGGGCGCAGGGGGCACGCGGCCTCAGTCTGCTTCCGGCAGCAGATGGCAGGGCCTGGAGCGTCACCTGCTGCAGTGACGCAACCACAGATCGCCACCCTCTTGGTAAGATTTGTTACGTCAGGGTCAGACCGCGGTGAGAGCCGTGACGTTTGCGGGTTCCACACTGGACAGAGGTGCTAGAATGAGACGGGCATAGAAGTGGGGTGGGGGAGAGCCTAAGCGCGAATTCTGGGCAGAAAGAGGGAGAAATATCAAAGACACCCGCAGTCTTACTCTGCTAAGAGCACTTTGGCCAGTCCTGTCTCCTCTCCGTTCTCCCCAACGAGCGACTGAGAACGCAGGGAGCGTGGACGTCTCCAAAGCCGGCCTCTGCCAGCTGCCCGCTGCCCTCTGCACGTGCTGACTCACCTGCGAGATCAGGTGATTGCCCAGCGGCGGCTGCTGCTGAGGCGCAGGTGGGAGCGCGGGAAGCTGCGGCGGCTGCTGCTGCTGCTGTGGGGGCGGGGGCGGCGGCGGGGGCGGCGGCGGTGGCTGCTGGGCAGTGCAAGGGAGAAGGCCCCGGACAGACTGGGATGAGGTGACCTGGTTGCACACTTCTGGGGCGCCTAGCACCATACCTAGGGCGAAGAGGAGGCCCAGTCAGACGCTGGAAGTACAGGCCACATGCTCGCCACCCAGCGCCCCACCACAGGGCTCCGCTGGCGGCCTGCGGCCCCTGCCCCCGCGGGCAGGCCGCGCATGCGCACAGATGCGCCCGGCCGCGGGTCAGCAGGCTTCGCGGCCCGGGACAGCACCGTCTTGACGGCCCATGCTTGGTTTTAGAAGGAGGCGGTATTGAACTTCCTCATAAAGTGCCTAGAATCTGTCCATCACAACTGCACAGCTACAAACACGAATGTTTACTTCCTGGGAAGATACAGATCGGCCTGTGTCTTCAGAGTCCTGTCATCTCTTGGAATTCAACTTGCAGGGGTCGTAGAGGTTGCTGAGAAGGCGACCGTGTCTCGCCAAGCTATGCACATTCACACGCGCACACAACCTTCTTCATTCAACTACCCCTCCCACTGTCAGGCCCTCCGGCTCATGCACAGGCTCACAGGTCACTTCTGCCCAATATCCACTCCGTGCAGATACTGTGTGAGTGATGCGCGGAGTGCACAGAGAAGAGAACACGGTCCTTGCAGAACAGGATTTTCCAACGGGTGTTTGAAGTCCATACAGACACACACAGGCACACACACGGTTTCTTCTGCAGAGAACACACGATGCATTGCTGACACCAACAAAGTCATGTGGAAGCAAAGACGAGGAAGCACTAACCCTAGAGTTTCAAGAGGCGGCACGAAAGATGGGTGGAAGGATGACTGGGCTTGCCAGACCAAGAGGGGACAAAGTTACAGCCACATTCAAGAAACGGCCGGAGCGCGGGAGGCTGACAGGTAGCACACGCAGGACTGCAGTGGCGACTGCAGGCAGGGTAGTTTCGACCTTATTCTCAGGACCGCTGTGATGGGGCCACTTCCTCAGGGTGGTGTGGCTGAGACCCACGTTGAGGCTGGTTGGCTGGCTCCAAGGGCCAGGAGGCGTAGGAGCCGGCGTGGGGCTAGTGTCTTAACTAAACCAAAGATAAGGGTCTAGATAAGGCCAGAGGCAGGGTGACTGCCCAAGAGGGGACGGCGAGGCCGGAAAGAGCAAAGTCTCTTGCCACTGTGTACTGGGAAAAAGGCCTCGAGCCCTGGGGTGAGATACCGCATTCGTCAGAGGCAGGAGGGTGGTAAGCAGAGGCTGAGTTAAGAGCGCTAAGCATGCCTCTGCGAAGAAGGTGACAGATCAAGGGAGCTGGCTGAAGGTGGTCAGAGGGCTGCAGCGTGATGCTCTGGGCTCCAGAGAAGCAGCCGCTCCCAAAACTCAAGCCTCACACTGCCGCCGAAATACAGTTAACCCTAAGCGTCCCCTGTCCCTACCAGCCCTCTGTGTAATCTCAAAGGAAAGGAAGCAGCTAGCCGCCTCATGGATCTGGGCGATGGAGCCGCCCCACCTGGCTGGAAGTCACAGAAACCCATCTAATTCCAGTCAGGTTTGCTCAGTTAGGACGGAGGGTTTGAGGAGACTCAAAGCCATAGATCCAGTCAGACTTCCCCTGGCTGGGTTAGGGCTCTGGGACACTAGTCAGGGCAAGTGCTGCGTCAGGAGTATCTGTGAGGTTCTGCAGGAAAAGCGCAGGAAGGGAGGTGCGCGCTGGCTGGCGGCGGTACCTGGCCGGGAGACCCTGCCCGCACTGCCGCCTTTACTGCTGCCCACGCTGTCGCCCCGGGTGAGGATGGAGATCCCGCTGAAGCTGCTGGCTTTGGTGACAGGGGGTCGCGTGCTCCGGACAGAGCCGTCCGAGTCGGTGCTGCTCCACGGCCGGGGCTCCAGGGCCTTGAGTTCGCTGTCTGTGCTGCTCTGGCGGCTGCTCGAGGCGCGGCTCGGCCCCTCGCGGGTTCCCCTGCGGAGAGCAGGGCGGTCAGAGCACTCCCCACCCCGCCTCCGAGAAGGGCCCGAGAGAGCAGAGCCACACACTTCTGTTCTTTCCAGAACGCAGAGGGGCGGGGTGGGTGGGGATGGACGCTGACTTCCCATTGGCTGCCCAGGGTGGGTGGGGATGCCCACGGGCTTCTCCGTGGGAGAAGACCGGAAGGGAGCAGACAGACAGGCCCCTAGTCCCAGAGAGGACAGGCAAGTCTGGAAGACAGTGACGGGCAGCCAGCTCATCGCCAGACCAGAGAATGGGAAATCACACACGATGCTGAGACTGGCTGTGGTCTCTTCCAGCCTTGCGGACATCCCACACATGCAGGAATAGTGGGGAGCAGAGGTGTGTACCCACTCCTTCTGGAGTGCTTAAAAACAAAAAGCCCACTCGGAGTAACCACGGCTAGCAAGTAGGAGGCCGGGACAGAGCGCCACAGCACACCTCCTGTAGTGGTCTGTGCCAACCGAGGCAGCGCCAGGGCGGCTCTTCCAGGGCCGGGAGACGGACGGGGCCACAGGGACACGCTAACGTTCACTGAGATCCTGGGCTTGACCCCACCCATTTTCTGGAAGTTCTGTTTTGGTGGTTTGGAACAAATGGTTCTGAGGTCTCTGAAGCCCTGAGCATGCTCTAGGCAAGGGAGACGCTAGCTCCCCTCTGCCAGGCCGTGGGGCAGGGTGCTGACTGACCCTGGCGCCTTCACAGGCGGAGCCTGGTGCGGCAGGCAAGGCGCCACGCTGCAGAGAAGCGGGCCTCGCCCTGTCTTATTTGCTCTGGAAACAGCAGGGTTATCCTCAGCGCAGCCACTGCATGTGGCCATAAACAGCTCTGCTCCTGGAGAGAGCTGGGGCTCGAAACCCCCAAGTCTTGTTGGGCCGTTGCTGCTTTCTCATCAGTGAGAACAGGGAATTTTCCTTTCATATTCCCCTCCCCCAACGACTAAAGACCTAAAGAAACCAAATGTCAACGATGACAGAGATTCTGGCAGGAACGGGGACCAATTAAGCCAAACCCATAGAAGTTGGATCCTCTCCTTTTCACTAAAGCAAATAAAAAAATCCCACCCCGTCTCTTAGCTCCAAAGACAGGCTCAGAATTATTCCAAGAAAAAACGCACTTTTTCTTAAGGGGGTAACATGAAAGAAAATACCTTTCTTTATTAGAACTATCTGTTCCCAAGGCATTGTCGGGAAATGGGCAAATCATACACAAAGATCATCCTTTCCGTTCTTAGCCGAGCCAACCCCGGGAACTACGAACACAGGGCACCACTGGCTCACAACAGCAGTTCTTCTCTGAGCCCCGAGCCGAAGCATATATCATCCCGTGGTTCTCTCTGCAGCACTGGAGCGGAGGGCGGCAAACAGTCCTGTTTCCCCGTGACTTTACCTTTCTCTTCGGATGTCCAAAGCAGAATGGGAAGTAAGACAGTAAGAAGCAGGGCCTGTCCCGGAACAGAGCCCGAGCGCCAGCAGCTCTGTCTCAGGGCCCAGACAGTGTGCCGAGGCTCAGCAGGAAGCGTGGGGTGCGGCAATGCGGAGGCTGCTCACTGGACACGGCTGGGCTTTGCGAGCCAAACCCTACCGCTCTTTCACACCTCACCACGCCCCACTCTTAGGGCAATTCTGCCACACACTGTCTTTTTCTACAGGACGCAGAGAGTGAGTCAAATTTAAACCAAACACCCTGGGCAACTCTGGCCGGAGGGCAGACCCCGGTAATGGCTCAGTCCCCCGACAGAGGCGGCAAGTGCTCAAAATGCGGGTGGTCTGATGACCGTGACTCACTCGGGCCTTAATGTCCCACTGCCCTGAAAGTTAAGAGAATGTAAGTGGAGTTCTGGCCAGAAAAGATTTCCTCGTCCAGAAACCTAATCTCTAGCCATGTCTTCCTGCGTCACTAAACATGAGGCAAGTCGGGAAAGGCACCAACCTGATTCTGAACACGGGGCTGAGTGGGTGCTGGAGAGACGGGTGAAGGGCAGTGGCATGCACTCTCATGGCCCAAGAGACCAGACGGGCAGCAGATTTAGTGCTGGTGAAAAGCTGAGTTACTGGGTCTGGGGAGGGGCGGACGGCCCGGGAGAAACCGCAGCAAGTGCGGTGAGCCCGCTGGGGCGTGTTTCAGGGGAGCAGAGTCTTCCAGAGAGCCAGGAGGTTGCCGCGACCGCGCCCGCGCAGATGAGGACGCTGACGTCCTGGCGTTTGTTTCACTCTCAAGAGGAGAAAAGCAGCGGCCGGTCCGGAGGAGCGGCGCCCACTGCCGGCGTTCCGGACCCGCACGGCCAGAGGAAGGATGGAGCCAGCCGCTCCACGAGGCTGCACTCAGACGAACGGACCTTGAGCTCCGTAGGAAAGGCAGCAGCTTCAGAGGGGCCTGGGCGGGAGCAGCGCTCCCTGCCGTCAGCTACCGTCTTGCAAAGCGGCCCTGGCCAGAGAAGGGGGTGACGGTGCGGTGTGGCGGGAAGAGCCTGGACAGAGTCAGTCCCAACCTTGCTGCCAGGAGCAAGTGAGCCTGGGTGGCCACTGGCCCCCCGACCCCCCATTTCTGTCCCCTCATACGGACATCAGCTCCCAAGCCGGCACCTAGGGGCTGAATCCGACAGCGAAATGGGCAGCTGTGACGCACTGTGCGTTGGTTCACAGACAGGAGCTGGCTGAAAACCCCTGTTCATTACATGACCCTTATGGAACATGACCCTTTTTTCCAAGGGGGGGCCCTCAGTCTCTTGACCACCACCAATAATGCAGAGTCCTCTCTGCTTAGGCCAAGGCCTCAAGGTGAACAGTCTAGGAAAAAGAATCAGCGATCGAGAAAGGGAGATAAGTCCTGTGTCCCAAGAAAGGGCAAGCTCAATCCTAATTTGCACGATTTGACTAAGGTTTGGAAAGGACAACCGAGGAGGGCAGCTGTGCTACTAGAAATGAGAACCCCAAACGGTGCATCTGTCATTTCCTGTCACATGTGGGATTCACAGAGAAAGGCCCTTGGAGCGGGTCAGACTTGAACCTCAGCATCGAAAGGTCAGCCCCTCCGTCCTCTACAGGCCTCCTGCGGGCCGCGGAGACTGCTCAACCGAGCTGGTGTGGGCTGGGGGCTACTAAATAGGGCTTTTCTTACCACTGCCTGTGGGCTCCTCTGGGCGGGGGCTGAGAGCTGAAGGGAGAGGGGGACGCCACGTGCCGAGTGGCACTAGGTGCTGGAGAAGCCGGCACGCCGGTTTTTGCCGGCACTAAGAGCAAGGCCGGACGGCCGTAAACAGGGCGCTCCAGGTGCCTCGTCAGGCAGAGAACGGCCCAGAAGGAGCTAGACGGGTGCTTGCTGGGCGTTTGTACTTCTCTGTTGTCATTCTTCAAGACGCAAAATGTTCCCTAGAGACAAGCTCTTCAAATCTCTCCACAGGTTAAGAAGAGACAGCTAGGGAATGCCCATTCTTTTACCTTATATAGGTTCAAATCCTCCCCAAGCGCCCAATTCCAGCAAACTTCTGGGAGGAACTAGCACCTAGCCCAGATATATCTACTGGGGTCCCTTCACCACCTAGCCAGGCCTTGACTGGAAATCAGCAACAATAAAAATAAAACAATTGAGCAGAAGCCATTTTTTGTAATGGGGGAAATATCCAATGTTGCAAAACCACAAACTGAGTTACTCACAGGCAGAGCCATGCACAGGGCAAACACCCTGCTGAGAGATTACAGCACAGCAAGTAAAACTGAAAACAAACAAACACACACAACCCCGAGAGGCAGAGACCACATGGAAATACCTAAAAATCTGCCTTCTCCTGTGAGAGCTAGAAGAGAAGGCTTCTCTGGAGAGTCTGTTGGTTAACATCAGAGAAAAGCATCATTACAGGATCGTATTCACCTCACTGACGAAGCTCACCAAGAAGCGGGGAACATGCTAGGTGGTACTAACCTGATGTCATTTAGATATCCGTTCTGGCCAGTCTAGGTGAGGGGGAGAAAACGGAGAATAACTTATAAGAAAACAGCATGGCATAACCGAAAAGGGTGTCCATGATGCTACGAGTCCCCGAGTCCTCAAACCAAGCTCACCCCCCAACAGGGAGAGAAGGAACAGGACAGGACGCCCCACACCCCCACGCCCGGCTGCCTTCTCCCCTTTCACGGAAAGAGCACTTGGCTTTTTGCACTTTCCCACAGAATGCTTAAGACAGGCTGGTAAGGAAAGGGGGAGTCTGGAAGGGAGGAAGAGGAAAGAGCTGACCACGCTGTGACTCCCTTCCCACCTCTGTTCATTCTCTCTGAGCTAGTGGGGGTGCGTGGTCCTAAGGTGTGTTCACAGGAAGGGAAAAGGGAGACAGGTGAAAGGAGATTAGTTTGTTTGTTTTTTTAATGAATCCACCTCCACGGCTATTTCATTTCTGTCGTTTTCCAGGACAAAATGAAAGACATTTTGACCTGAGACAAGAAAAAAAAAATCAAAGGCCGGATGCATTCCTCCTAGGGATCATTTCCTGACAGAGCCACTGAGCGAGCGCAGCGCGGTGGCGTTCCGGGGCCCCACGCCTCGGGCGGGGTCAGCGAGGTCCGCTGCGGAGCAGAGTGGGCTGTGCAGGGCCAGCGGGAGCCGGCAGCCAGGCCCGAGGCCGCCGCCCGCGGCAGCGGCAGCGGCAGCATTTCCATCCAAACACCCTTCTTGCACTTCCCTTTCTTTCCGCCTGCGCGGCCTCTCCCGAAGCCCTCTGCCGCAACACTCGCCCCTCTCTTCTTGGGGCTTTGCTGACTCCCACTCCGGGAGTGTGGAGTCTCGCTGGTCAGAGTCCCACCCCCTCTCCCGCAGGAGAGAGCGGTGCTGAGATGAAGAGATGAATCCGCCAGGATTTCACAAAGAGCACAACTCTTGGTAGAGGCTCACGAGACGAATTCAGGCGGGAAAAGCTCAGAGAATGGCTCGCTTTAACTTCGTGACGGCTGCGGTATGGCTGCGGGGTCTGTCGTCCGTGTTGTCAGTTAGCCCACACCCCGTTGGAGGCGCTGCTCAAGCACCCGTGGCTGCGGAAGGCGCCCGGCGGGACGGCAGCTCGAGG